TTAACCGGATAAGTTAACCGGATAAGTTAACCGGATAAGTTAACCGGATATCTTAATTATTTTTTATTAAGTAAATCCAGGAGGTTGCATAACAAAAACACGTGTTCGTGTTTATTTACTTCAAGGCAAATATCTAAGAACGTACATCTCTCACTTATTTGCTTTCTGATTTTTAAAGATTAAGTATTTCAAATTTTATTTGCAAAATATAATGCTAAATATTTTATTAAATTTAACGTGTCTAATAATTCATCTAACAGCTGATATAATGTTGATAGTTCCTGAACAAGTAACTTTTTGGAAGTGGAAAGTCGTACGAACGTTTTTTATTTCGAAAGCTTGTGTGCTTTTTTTGCTTTGTAAAGGAAGGATAACTACTAGTCGCGATGCAGGAGAATTCACTAGGTGACTGCTCAGAGAATTACTGAAAATAGGAGAATTACTATTCTGGATACTGGTAACCACTCCAGGCGTTCTGGTCTTAGGCGTCCTAATTTTGTTAATAAATTTTTATTATTTGCAAAAAAAGGATAACTCCTATTAGAATTCAGGAGAATCATTGAGAAATAGTCTAGAGAATTACTTTACTGATGACTTGGAGAATTACTGAGTTTGGATACTGGTAACCACTCCAGGCATTCAGATTCAGGTGTCCTTACCTTTTTGCTAATAAGGAACTACTGAGGAACTACTGAGGAGTAGGAATCAGTTATGTACCTATCCTTATTCTAAGCAAAAATTGCACTACAAGCATTACAAGATCGTGTGAAATGAGACTAGACCATTGTCTACGGTAAAATTAATTTTAGTTTGGCATTTGCATTGCTTTATCTTTGAAGAGCAAGTATTCTATAATTCTATAATTTTAATTTCTATTTTTTTACAAAAAAACTATAAAGTTGCAGAAAATTCGATAGCATAGATAGATTGGATATTGAAGCACTATTTGGGCTTTTACGTATTCGATTGTGAAGTTAAGCATTTTCTTTTCTTCAATAAATATAGTTTATAAAAGTTACGTTTTGAAGAATAAGTTAATAATTTTATACTTTACCATGTTTCATTCTAATGAGATATAGGATTTTGCGTATCAAAAGATTTATAATAGCTTAGATATTAATGATGGTATAAAAGCATTGTTTGCTTTCTTAGATTCCTTATATCCAATATGAGTGTACCAAAATTATTAAACAAGGTATTTCAACGATTCCGTACAACCTAACGGTTAGCCAGTTATTCTATCTTAGGGTACGATCACTAATTTTAGATGCAATTTATTACGTGATCGTAACTCACAAAAATAAAAACATTATTTGAAAACTTTCACGCTTTTCTATAAAAAGAACTAATGCAGTAATGTTTAATCGTCTTTAAA